ATTTTTTTTTTTAAATTCCCATTTTTGGTACCGCCCAAATTTTTAGAGTATACTTTGCGCGACGAACTAGTATATATTGGTCGCGCAAAGTTGGAAAAAAAAATTAAAAAAATTTCGCATTTTTGGTACCGCCCAAAATTTTAGAGTATATTTTGCGTGACGAACTAGTATATATTGGTCGCGCAAAGTTGGAAAAAAATAATTTTAAATTTCGCATTTTTGGTACCCGCCCAAATTTTTCGGGTATACTTTGCGCGACGAACGACTATATATTGGTCCCGCAAAAATTTGCGCGACGAATTATATATTCGTCCCGCACAAATTTGCGCGACGAATCATATATTCGTCCCGCAAAGTCGTAATTTTTTTTTTTAAATTCCCATTTTTGGTACTCGCCAAATTTTTAGCGTATACTTTGCGTGACGAACTACTATATATTAGTCACGCAAAGTCGTAAAAAAATATTTAAAAAAAATTCTCATTTTTTGTACCCACCCAAATTTTTAGAGTATACTTTGCACGACGAATTATTATATTGGTCGCGCAAAGTCTTAAAAAAAATTTAAACCTACTAATAAATATATATACTATTCAATTTCTTAAGTGTTATACGTACAAAATAAACAAATTTAAAGCTACTCAACGATCCAACCGTCAAACTTTTTTGTTTATACTTCGAGATTGTCTACGCCAAAATTCGAAAAAAATAAACATTAAGAGATCAAGTAATGGGACAAAACATTTCGACGGTTATAAAAGAAAAATCAAGATTTAACGGTTATTTCAACTCTGATTTTGATGATTTTTTACAGCTACACTCCTTGACCCTATATGAATACAATGACTGCATTCGATCGTCAATTTAAAATATTTACACTAGTGGATACCACAAAATCTTATGTTATATTTAATGAAAGTATAAATAAACTCTTAATTGTTAGTGAATATATTGTTTTGATGGCATACACATTCTATGAAACTAGTTTCAACGATCCAACCATCAAACTTATTTGTTTACACATCGAGATCATATAAGCCAAAAATCGGGAATTTTTTTTTTCTTCAGAAATCAAGTAACGGGACAAAACATTTTGATGGTTATAAACGAAAAATCAAGATTTAACGGTTATTTCAACTCTGATTTTGATGATTTTTTACAGCTACACTCCTTGACCCTATATGAATACACTGACTGCATTCGATCGTCAATTTAAAATATTTACACTAGTGGATACCACAAAATCTTATGTTATATTTAATGAAAGTATAAATAAACTCTTAATTGTTAGTGAATATATTGTTTTGATGGCATATGTATTCTATGAAACTAGTTTCGACGATCCAACCGTCAAACTTGTTTGTTTATACTTCGAGATCGTATACCCTAAAAATCAGAAAAAATAAACATTCAAAGATCACGTAATAGGACAAAATTTTCGACGGTTATAAATGAAAAATCACGATTTAACGGTTATTTCAATTTCGATTTTAATGATTTTTTATAGCTACACTCCTTGACCCTATATGAATACAATGAACCAATTTGATCGTCAATTTAAAATATAATACATTTAAAATATTATATTTTTCTAACAAAATAATTTTTTTTTTTAATTTTTTTTTTTTTGTAAAGACTTTGCGAGACGAAGTTTATAAATTCGTCGCGCAAAGTCATGCAAAGATTTTTATTAAAAAAATTATTTTATTTATTTTTGTAAAGACTTTGCAAGACGAAATACACTTCGTCGCGCAAGACTTTGTGCACCGAATTTTATTGTTTCGTAGCGCAAAGTCATGCAAAGATTTTTACAAATAATTTTTTTATTTTCTTTATTTTTGTAAAGACTTTACGAGACGAACCACACTTCGTCACGCAAAATTTGGTCGCGCAAAGGGTTTTTTTTACTAGTGATTGCGCGAGATCTGCCAACGTGGAGTCGACATAATTAATTAACAAATTCCTATATATAATAGTGCAAAAAAAAAATTCTATATATATTAAGTAAAAGGCAGAGAATGGTGAAATATTCAAAATACCAAAAAATACTCTTGGTTAATTCAAACATTAAGAATTGACATTATTAATTAAATGAAGATAATAAGGTAAATTCACATTTTTTAGAATATAGTTACTTTTATAGAATATAGCTACACATGTTATCTTTTCTTAATTCTAAAAAGAAAAGAAAAAAGAAAAAAGAAAATCAATTGTCATGTGCCAAGGACTAGTAATAATAATAATAATCAATGAGTGTGCTGAATAGATTAAAGAAACAAGAGATGACCTCAAAAAAAAATTGGAGGGAACATAATTGTGTTGCAGCGCATTAAATATCACATTAAATCCTGTGTTCAAATTCTCTTAATAACGCTTGTATCAATTATTAAACAAAGACAAAGAAATCAATTCTTTCTAAAAGTGGACGGCACCATGATTTACTCCTCTTTTCCGTCTTGCTTTCGGGTACTGGCCATGGAGCCAAGGGAACACAATATCCCATGCACATAATTTTATAATTCAAAAGACAATTCCACCGAAAGCACTTTTGAAGCCAACAAAGTCAAGGTAGGTGCCCACAACAAAACACATCACACGCCATCAAATTTGAGCCAATTCCAACAGTAGGAATAGGAACCTCAAAACTTGATAGAAGATTTAATTTCCACGCAGACAGTTTATTTGTTCACAACACCTCATCCATGGCACTTGTGCGAGCAGCTCGGAAAACCTCCTCTTCTTATACTTGTCGATATTTTCATTATGACGTGTTCCTGAGTTTCAGACAAGAAAACCAAAGGCCCAAACAAGGGAACCCGTAACAAATCGAGGAATAATACATACAACATGAGAACTAATTTTAATTTCAAAATCGCAACTAGCACTTAGTTTATTGGAGCATAAAATTTGGATCCAGCAAGATCGATCGAAGTGATAATAGGCAGAGGTTTCCTGGCAATGGCATGGTGTGTACCTAGAATTTGTCATGCCATTACCTAGAATTTCCTGGCAATGGCATGGTGTGTATCTTTTTAAAAGACACAATTAAAGCTCCCACTAGTTGGATTGCTTTTGTTACTTTCTCCCTTCTTTATCTTAAAGAAAGAAAAAAAAACACATGATGATTTCATTTGCTTGACTCAAAATAATTGCTTTTTAAGTCAATGGATGGATGATCCTTTCATTTGGTCATTCACAAGCTGCTTGTTTATACAATCCATCCAGGCAGTTTACTTGTTCACAACACCTCATCCATGGCACTTGTGAGTGCAGCCGATCCACAAACCTCCTCTGTTTCCAGTACTTCTCGATATTGTCGTTATCACGTGTTCCTGAGTTTCAGAGGCCAAGACACTCGCAAGACTTTCACTGACCACCTCTACACGGCCCTTGTCAAAGCCGGATTTCGCACTTTCCGAGATGACGATGAAGTCGAGAGGGGAGAAGGTATCAAGCCCGAACTGCAGAAAGCAATCAAACACTCAAGAACTTCTGTTATTGTGTTTTCGAAAAACTACGCGTCGTCCAGATGGTGCCTTGACGAGCTCGTCATGATCCTTGAACGCAAGAGGCTCTCAGCTGACCATGTCGTTTTACCTGTCTTCTACGACGTGGATCCATCCGACTTGCGGAAGCAGAAAGGAAGTCTTGCGGAGGCATTCGCTAGACACCAAAAAACCCAACCGTCGAACAAAGTGAAGGAATGGAGGGAGGCACTTGCAGAGGTTGCAGATCTGGCAGGGATGGTCTTACAAAATCAAGCTGATGGGTAATTTCTTTTATCTGTAAGTCTCTTTCTAAAGTTAAAATACTGAAAATAGACTTACTTTTTCTGAATTTTCATATAATATTTCTGAATTTTCGTATGGCTTGTTTTACTTTAAAATGTATCTTCCTCAATATAAACTTAACAGTAAGAATATTCTACTATCCTTAAAATAAAATAAAATAAAAAATTAAGTATAATTATTTCTACTTTAATACAGGCGTATTTTAAAACTTCTCACAATAGAGTTGAAGTCCAATAATTAATTAGACGGATTGTACTATTGCAAGGATGTTTGAATTCTTTTTTCATTTGGATTGCAACTTTTCAGACACGAGTCAAAGTTTATCAACAAGATTGTTCAAGTGATGGGAGAAAAACTAAGGCGTAGACCCCTAAGTGTTCCCCACATCATGATCGGAATGCATTCTCAAATCAACGAACTGAATTTATGGTTACAAGATGGATCAGATGATGTTGGCATACTTGTAATTTATGGCATGAGCGGAATAGGGAAGACAACCATTGCAAAGTCTGTTTATAATTCAAACTATGGAAGGTTTGAAGGAAGTAGCTTCCTTGAAAACGTAAAAGAAGTTTCTCAGCAACCCAATGGCTTAGTTCAAATACAAACACAGCTTCTTTCTGATATTTTGAATGGGAGAAAAATGAAAATAAGCAATGTTAGTGAAGGATTAACTGAGATTGAAGATGCAATAAGCTCTAAGAGGGTTCTCCTTGTTCTCGACGATGTGGATCATAGGGATCAATTAGATGCAGTATTTCGGATGAAAGATCTGTTTTATCCAGGAAGTAAAATCATAATAACAACTAGGCATGCAAGATTGTTAAGGGCTCATCAAGTTACTAAGGTGCATGAAGTTGAAACTTTGAATTCCAAGGAATCATTGGAGCTTTTTAGTTGGCACGCTTTTGGTCAGGACCATCCCTTTGAAGGTTACATAGAATATTCGCAAAAAATAGTGGGTCATTGCGGAGGACTTCCATTAGCTCTTGAAGTTTTAGGTTCTTCTATGTACTTGGGGGATAGTATAGATGTATGGAAAAGTGCACTGGAGAAGTTAGAAGCCATTCCAAATGGTGAAATAGTAAATAAACTAAGAGTAAGCTATGACTCTTTGCAAGATGACCATGACCGAAATTTATTCCTCCACATTGCTTGTTTCTTTATCGGAAAGGACAAAGACTACATTGTTAACATACTAGATGGATGTGATTTCTATACAATTGTTGGCATTCAAAATCTCATCGATAGATGTTTGGTGACAATTGATGAATTTGACAAGGTGCAGATGCATGACATGATCCTTGGAATGGGAAGACAAATTGTTTGCCTAGAATCAGAAAAGCCTTGGAAGCGTAGTAGAGTATGGCAACATAAGGATGCTTTCAATATCTTGACAGAAAAGAATGTAAGAAAAAGGTCGTATATGCACACATATATGTTTTTCATTTGTAAATATTTTTCAAATGTTTTTCCCCTTTCTTCTGTAGGGTACAGATTCAATTGAAGGCCTTGTCCTCGACATGCACATGCTCCCTAGAAACAGTCACATAAACTCAACGGAGATGGTCTTGGAAGCCAATGCATTCGCAAGGATGCATGAACTAAAACTACTCCATCTTAGTCATGTACAACTCGACGGATCTTATGCAGAATTTTGTACAAGATTAAGATGGTTGTGTTGGAATAAGTTTCCTTTGGATTCTATACCCACAGATTTTCCTTTGGGGAGCCTGATTGTTCTTGAAATGCAATATAGCAGCTTGAGGCAAGTCTTCAAAGGAACAAAAGTATGTTACTCTACGCTTTTCAATTTTCACTTTCATTTGGCTTTTAGTTTCATAAAAAAATATATACATCTACAACAATTAACTCCCCCCAATTTTTTCTTCTGTTCATTTTTTCCCCCACAGCGTCTTTCATCATTGAAGATCCTTGATCTCAGCCATTCTCATTCACTTACAGAACTCACCAACTTTTCATTTTTCCCAAATCTAGAGAAATTGATTCTTGTAGATTGTGAAAGACTGGTTGATGTCAATGAATCCATTGGGAACCTTGAGAGACTTGTTTACTTGAGTATGAAGGATTGCAAAAATCTTAGGATGCTTCCAGAGAACATGTTTTTGCTAAAATCACTTGAAACACTTATTATATCTGGTTGCACAAATCTTAATAAGTTGTCAGTTGAGATGTTAAGGAACATGGAATTTCTGAAAGTGCTTGAGATGGATGAAATTCCGATAACTCAATTATGGCGAGGAAGAAGTTCATGTATCTTGAGTTCTTTACCATGCTCTTTAGTATATTTAAGTGTTTGGGGTTGCAATCTTTCGGATGATGACTTTCCTAGGAATTTTAGTAATTTATCCTCATTGCGAAGACTAAACGTAGGGAATAATCCAATTTGTGTCCTACCAAATTGCATCCAAGGTTTAGCAAGAGTCGATAAACTCTCTTTTCCCATGTGTAAGAGGCTCAAATCGCTTGTGGGTTTGCCAGAAGTAGATGACTTGGATATCCAACATTGCGTATCATTGGAAAAAATAACATATCAGTACTTTCCACGCTATAAGCATGCCTATTATTACTTTCCACATCATATTTGGCCATCTACCCGTGCGAATGGGAACCCCAACCTGGTTGAGTGGGAGGATTCTTACAAGGTAGAACCTATTGGAAGAGTTGACGTAGATATGATCAACCTCTTGGGCTTGTGCAACTTGGAATCCATGGCACCCATTCGGATTCACAAACCATTCTCTAGTGCAATAGATCGAAGTCCTGTCCAGGTGCGCCTCTCTCTCTCTCTCTCTCTCTCTCTGGATCACAGGAAACAGTTGACTAATATTGTCATTTCCATTGCATATATATAGGGACTGTATGAGGGTCGTAAATTCAGCACATTTTTTGGTGGGAATGAGGTTCCAGTCCAATTCAGCCATAAAAGTAGAGGGTCCTCAATATCTTTTACTGTGCCTTTGCTTGATAATCACATAATTAAAGGCTTGAACGTCTGTGCTGTCTATGCGAGTTCTAGCTCTCAATTTCTTTACAATTATTGGGATGGTATTGAAGGTATTGCTGGGCATATGATTACTAGAGTCAGAAATAAGAGCAAGGGTCTGAAGTGGTACTCTTTACCAGAACACTTTGGTATTCCACATGGAGAAGACATTATATGGTTAAGCCACTGGAAGTTTAAGGATGAGCACTTAGAAGGTGGCGATCAAGTGGTGGTTTCAGTACGTATGGCACATTGCTTTCAGGTAAAGGAGTTGGGGATCCAGTTTGTGCAGGTGGAACAAGAGAGTAATAATATGATGAGTACCACCGTTTATCCTGTTTATCCAAGTTTTATGAGTCGCTTAGATTACTTGTTCAATGATGAGGACTCTGATGAAGATACAAGAGGTGTGTTGTTTATTGACGCATTTGATGATTTTACTCCAATTATTTCCAAAACAAACTAAATTATAAGAATAAAAATAAAAAGACCCCTAATAAATTATTGACGCATTTGATGATCCATATTTCATTTGAAAAATAAGTTTCCTCTAATTTAAATTGGGATTTTATGTTATTTTTGTATGTTTTTCAGACAATGAAGAAGAGCAACAGGATGATCGCTCAATTGCAGCCCCCACAGGCAGTAATAACTGCAGCAGCTGCCTCCATGGCTGGAAAGTGCTCATCACCGCAGCTTGCAACCTCACGCTCTCTCTCTCACGCAGACAGAAGCAACAGTCAGAAAGCCGTGGCTGAATTATTTGTACATCTCAACTCAACAGCTGGTTATTTGTACATCCAATGTCTTCCCAAGACCTATTCGTTTCATAGCATCAAATACATCTTCTATTGAACCAATAATTGGCAACTGTCCAATTCAGATCTTCACTGTGATTTACAACAAAGCTATGCGTTCAGAAGACGAGGCTAACATTGCAAAAATTGGTATGGAATGGATTACAGAAATCTATAATGATACCTTATCTTGCGACTCTTAGAGGCTCGTCTGTCAACAATCTTCCTCTTCCTAGAATGCAACTTTTTCAGAGAATAAAAGGCTGTCTCTGTGATTAACCAAATAGTGGAAAATCAGAATAATTAAATAATATGCTGGCAGTGTAGGTCTTGATTAACTGGAACAACTATGACAGAGTGCTCTATTTTGAACTCTATTATAGAAACTTGAAATAATAGAGTTCAGGATCAACTAAGTTTACCTAATATATCCCTCGAGTGAAAACAGCTAATCTCTGATCTCCTCCTCCGTATTAGACAAAACTAATTAATTATCGCATAATTTATATTTAAAAATAAAACGAAATTAACAAAACAAGGGGCTGAGGAGAGTTGGTAGCGTTTTACAGCGTACGTACGTGGAATTTAAGAAGCGATTGTGTGTGTGCGCGTGTCAAAACGGAAGTACGTGGGAGAAGGGTCGCTTGACTATTCTGAAACGCTGTCAGATAAAACGGTCTGCTTTTTTATTTTTATTTAATTGCTCTTCTGCGTGACTTCGTCTCTGCGGGCTGCACTGCCCATAGCTTGGCGTCGAACTGCAAAATCTTAACCTCGCCCCTAGTTTACTATACTCTCTAAGTTCTAACCAACCCCCCAACTGTTGCTCTGGTTAGGTTAAAAGTTACTTAGATGCCCATAACTTTTCCATAATTAGTTTTACTGTAATTACATTCTTATTCCTTACGGAATCGTTGATTATGTGGCCCATTACAATTAGGCAGGTACTTTGTATTTTTTATGACAACCTTTTAAGCCACAAATTTCTTCAATTAATTTAATCAAATCCAAATTCATTGTGCCCAGAAACTCGGAGTCATCCAAAAGATACAACATGAAAGGTCTTAGGCCATGTCACCTGTATATTAAAATCTTTTAATGCGAACAATAATGAAATGTTGAACACAGTAGAACAAATTGCCATAAATCATGCATGGGAAGTTGTTGTAGCATTACTGCAAGTATAATATTTTTGCTAAGAGAATATCCCATGAGTATAATCTAATTTCAGCGTATGCATTATGTCGTCGTATAATTTTTAAGATAAATGCATTTCATGGTCCTTTGCCGACCCCTTAAGCAAACATACTAATTAAATGGATCAGTCAGGTATTGCATGAACTCAAAATTTAATAGCTTCAGTTTTACACAAGTTTAGAACAAGTTCAACACAACAAGAGCATATGTAGAGTATGATCCTTCTTCTCAAAATATCTAGAATATGATCCGAGTACCTTGAAAGCAACTGAGAAATCCTTGGCCAAGCTTGGGACTCCATTCTGACGCACTTAGTAGTAACTAACTTAGCACTAACATAATCTAACTAATTATAGTCTGAATAACTATTGCAGGGGAAACATGACCTTGATGCAAACATGCAATTACCGGTAATAATTGCATATACTGATTTACAAAGTCATTAAAAATGAATTTTATTCCAATTTAGGCTTAAATAGACTACGCAATTGCATGTAACATGATACAAAAACCAGAAAGCTGTGTATAATTACCCTATCCTGCATCTGATTTTATTTGCAATCAATCAACCACCAACATAACCAAAGGGCTGTTGGTTAATTTATGTCAATTCACTTCTATAAAGCCGAATTAAAGCTAATAGTAAAATAAATATAGTAAAAATTAAATTGAGAATTTAAATTGCACATCCACTAAATATAATTAGATACAATGATTGAAATACAAAATTGCAACCCGGCAATTATCCTTGTAACATGATATTTAAATCACCCTATAAGTAGTATTTTGAAAATTTGTTTTTGCAAAATGTTATCATAAATCAAATAAACGTCACCCTGTAAGTGTAAAAATAAAAAATAAAGACAATCATTAGAATAAAAAAGCCAATTTAGAATGAGCAGCTTGTGGAACCAGAGTATTAATCCATGACTGCCCCTGCTTCAGTGCTTCTTCTCTGAACCATGCATCCCCACTACACTACAGAAGCTCAGGAACCATAGGTGGGAAGGCAGGGCCATTAGGCTCTGCAGCCATGATTTTAATATCCTCTTGTTGCCCAAACAAGAAAACCAAAGGCCCAAACAAATCGAGGAATAATACGTACAACATGAGAACTAATTTTAATTTCAAAATCGCAACATCGAAGTGATAATAGGCAGAGGTTTCCTGGCAATGGCATGGTGTGTACCTAGAATCGGTCATGCCATTACTCACCTTTCATTTCAAGGGAGCCATATCTTTTTAAAAGACAGATAAGTCTCCAAATCGTGTTGTCCTTTTATGTTAAAGAGGCTCCCACTAGTTGGATTGCTTTTGTTACTTTCTCCTCTCTTTTTTTATCTTAAAGAAAGATAAAAAAAAACACATAATGATTACATTTGCTTGACTCAAAATAATTGCTTTTCAAGTCAATGGATGCGCTTGTTCGAACTCGATCAGAACTTAGCGCAAAACTTCACCTTGCAAAAATAGCAGGACAAGATACAGAAGCACGTTCGGTTCTTTAACCCAAACAAATTATCGGAAGGGCCATAGGCACTGGAGTCGAACGCCCAGAAAAGAAAACCAAAGCCCCAAACAGAGTAACAAAGGTCACAGAGTGAAAGGGGAACACTGTTTCTGTGTGCTACGTTAGCCTAATCGCTTTTCAAGTCAAGTCAATGGGTAGGCTGTCTTTTTCATTCATCGAATTCTGCAATTCATCATAACATGCTTGGCTTTCAATTTGAAGCTTTTAATCAATTTTCCACAGCTCATTTGTGGACCACTTCAAGTCGTCGATATCCATGGCACTCGTGGAAGCAGCCGATCCACAAACCTCCTCTTCTAATTAGCCACAACTTGTCACTGTCGCCAATTAGCTAATTATTTACCTTAAAACAAGTAAAAAAAACTCTGGCCGCCCTCTAGAGTCTAGACAAAGGCATCTTTGTTTCATTTGCTTGACTAAAAATAATTGCTTTTTAAGTCAATGGATGCGCTATCCTTTCATTTGGTCATTCATGAGCTGCTTGTTTACCCAATTCAAGTAGCAACCCCAAAACCTTATAATTTATTTCCATTCAGACAGTTTGTTTCTTCACCACACCTCATCCATGGCACTTGTGAGAGCAACTCAACAAACCTCCTCTTCTAATACTTCTCGATCTTGTCGTTATCATGTGTTCCTCAGTTTCAGAGGTGAAGACACTCGCAAGACTTTCACTGACCACCTCTTCACAGCCTTGGTCAATGCCGGATTTCGCACTTTCCGAGACGACGATGAGCTGGAGAGAGGAGAAGATATTAAGCCCGAACTCCAGAAAGCAATCAAACACTCAAGAACTTCTGTTATTGTGTTTTCGAAAGACTACGCGTCGTCCAGATGGTGCCTTGACGAGCTTGTGATGATCCTTGAACGCAAGAGGACCTCACCTGACTATGTCGTTTTACCTGTCTTCTACGACGTGGATCCATCCCATGTGCGGAAGCAGACAGGAAGTCTTGCAAGGGCATTTGCTACACACCAAAAATCTCAACACCGGAAGAAGGTGAAGGCATGGAAGGACGCACTTGCAGAGGTTGCAGATCTGGCAGGGATGGTCTTACAAAATCAAGCTGATGGGTAATTTCATTCCTTCTATTTTTTAATTTTTTTTTATAGATACCAAACATAGGAGTTTTCAATTTTTCATGTTTTATTTTTCAGGGTGCGTTAATTATGAATTTTTCTAGTGACTTCTTATACTTGTAAATATTGTATTTAAAGAACTCTCTCGATAGATAAAGACAGTATGATGATTGTTAACGTGTTTGAATTTTCTCTTTCATTTTGACTGCAATTTATTAGGTACGAGTCAAAGTTTATCAAGAAAATAATTAACGAGATCGGAGACAAACTAAGTCGCACAACCTTAAGTATTGCCCCCAACATGATTGGAATGCATTCCCGAGTGGAACCCATTAATCTTTGGATACAAGACAGATCAACTCGTGTTGGCATACTACTAATCTACGGGATGAGTGGAATAGGGAAAACAAGCATTGCAAAATTTGCTTATAATTCAAACTTTACAAGGTTTGAAGGAAGCAGCTTCCTTGAAAACATCAAAGAAATTTCACAGCAACCCAATGGCTTAGTTCAAATACAAACACAGCTTCTTTCTGATATTTTGAATGGGAGAAAAATGAAAATAAGCAATGTTAGTGAAGGATTAACTAAGATTGAAGATGCAATAAGCTCTAAGAGGGTTCTCCTTGTTCTTGATGATGTGGATCATATGGACCAATTAGATGCAGTACTTCGGATGAAAGATCGATTTTGTCCAGGAAGTAAAATCATAATAACAACTAGGCGTGCAAAATTGTTAAAGGCTCATCAAGTTACTAAAGTGCATGCAGTTGAAACTTTGCATTACAAAGAATCATTGGAGCTCTTCAGTTGGCACTCTTTTGGCCAGGACCATCCCATAGAAGGTTACATAGAATATTCGAAAAAGTTTGTGGATCATTGCGGAGGACTTCCATTGGCTCTTAAAGTTTTAGGTTCTTCTCTGTTGGGGGAAGGTATAGATGTATGGAAAAGTGCATTGGATAAGTTAGAAGTTATTCCAAATGATGAAATAATAAATAAACTAAGAGTAAGCTACAACTCTTTGCAAGATGACCATGACCGAAAATTATTCCTCCACATTGCTTGTTTCTTTATTGGAAAGGACAAAGACTGCATTGTTAAAATACTAGATGGATGTGATTTCTATACAATTGTTGCCATTCAAAATCTCATCGATAGATGTTTGGTGACAATTGATAAATATGACAAGGTGCAGATGCATGACCTGATTCGTGGAATGGGAAGAGAAATTGTTCGTTTAGAATCAGAGGAGCCTTGGAAGCGTAGTAGAGTTTGGCGTCATAAGGATTCCTTCAAAATCCTGGCAGAAAAGAATGTAAGAAACATGTCTTATATGAACACATATAGATGCTTTTTCTTGTAAATATTTTCCAAATGTTTTTCCCCTTTCTTTTTTGCAGGGTACAGAAGCAATTGAAGGTCTTGTCCTCGAGATGCATATGCTCCCTAGAAACTGTCTCATAAACCCAAACGAGATAGTCTTGGAAACCAATGCATTTGCAAGGATGCATGAACTAAAACTACTACATCTCAGTCATTTACAACTCGACGGATGTTATGCAGAATTTTGTACAGGATTAAGATGGTTGTGTTGGCTTAAATTTCGTTTGGATTCTATGCCCATCGATTTTCCTTTGGGGAGCCTGATTGTTCTTGAAATGCAATATAGCCGCTTAAGACAAGTCTTTGAAGGAACAAAAGTATGTTATTCTACGCTTTTCATTTTAATTCCATTTTCTTTAGGCTTTTAGTTTGATAACAAAATATATCTACAACAATTAACTCCCCACGTTGTTTTCTTCTGTTCATTTTTTTTCCCCAGTGTCTTCCCTCATTGAAGATCCTTGATCTCAGCCATTCTCATTCACTTACAGAAACCACCGACTTCTCATTTTGCCCAAATCTAGAGAAATTGGTTCTTGTAGATTGTGTAAGCCTGGTTGATGTCAATGGATCCGTTGGGAATCTTGAGAGACTTGTTTACTTGAGTATGAAGGATTGCAAAAATCTTAGGATGCTTCCAGAGAACATGTTTATGCTAAAATCACTTGAAACACTTATAATATCTGGTTGCACAAATCTTAATGAGTTATCAATTGAGATGTTAAGGAACATGGAATCTCTGAAAGTGTTCGAGATAGATGAAATCCCGATAACTCAATTATGGCGAGGAAGAAGTTCATGTATCTGGAGTTCTTTCCCATGCTCTTTAGTAAATTTAAGTGTTTGGGGGTGCAATCTTTCGGATGATACCTTTCCCAGGGATTTTAGTAATCTATCTTCATTGCGAAGACTAAACGTAGGGAATAATCCAATTTGTAGCCTGCCAAATTGCATCCAAGGTTTAACAAGGCTCGATAAACTCTCTTTTAAACAGTGTACAAGGCTCAAATCGCTTGTGGGTTTACCAAAACTACATGTCTTGAATATCAGAGATTGCATATCATTGGAAAAAATTACATATCAGTACTTTCAAGGCAAAGAGCATAATACCTCTCTGGGTTTCAACCGCAACCTAGTTGAGTGGGAGGACAGGTTCAAGCTAGAACCCATTGGAAGAGTTGATGTAGATATGATCAACCTTTTGGGCTTGTGCAACTTGGAATCCATGGCACCCATTCGGATGCACAAACGATACAGTAATTCAATAGAGGGTGATCGAAGTCCTGTCCAGGTGCGCCTCTCTCTCTCTCTCTCTCTCTCTCTCTCTAATGATCACAGGAAATGGTTGACTAATATTGTCATTTCCATTACATATATATAGGGGCTGTATGAAAAGGGTATATTCAGCACATTTTTTAGTGGGAATGAGGTTCCAGGCCAATTCAGCCATAAAAGTAGAGGGTCCTCAATATCTTTTACTGTGCCTTTGCTTGATAATCACAGAATTAAAGGCTTGATCGTCTGTGCTGTCTATGCAAGTTCGGGCTCTGATTTTCCTTACAATCGTATGACTGATTTTAAATGGATTGGTGGGCAAATGATTACTAGAGTCAGAAATAAGAGCCAGGGTCTGAAGTGGTACTGTAAGCCATCATTCTACGGCATCCCGGGTGAAGGAGAAGACATAATATGGTTAAGCCACTGGAAGTTTAAGCACTTAGAAGGTGGCGATCAAGTGGTTGTTTCAGTACGTATGGCACATTTCTTTCAGGTAAAGGAGTTGGGGATCCAGTTTGTGCAGGTGGAACAAGAGAGTAATAATATGATGAGTACCACCGTTTATCCTGTTTATCCAAGTTTTATGAGTCGCTTAGATTACTTGTTCAATGATGAGGACTCTGATGAAGATACAAGAGGTGTGTTGTTTATTGACGCATTTGATGATTTTACTCCAATTATTTCCAAAACAAACTAAATTATAAGAATAAAAATAAAAAGACCCCCCTAATAAATTATTGACGCATTTGATGATCCATATTTCATTTGAAAAATAAGTTTCCTCTAATTTAAATTGGGATTTTATGTTATTTTTGTATGTTTTTCAGACAATGAAGAAGAGCAACAGGATGATCGCTCAATTGCAGCCCCCACAGGCAGTAATAACTGCAGCAGCTTCCTCCATGGCTGGAAGGTGCTCATCACCGCAGCTTGCAAGCTCGCGCTTTCTCTCTCACGCAGACAGAAGCAACAGTAAAAAAGCCGTGGCTGAATTATTAGGACATCTAAACTCGTTTCATAGCATCAAATACATCTAGGGAATAGGTATTCGTCTATACCAATAATTGGCAACTGTCAATGCATATCAAGAACATCCACTTTTCTTATAAATGTCAAACTTACAGTCCAATTCAGATCTTCACTCTGATTTACAACAAAGCTATGTGTTCAGAAGACGAGGCTCACATTGCAAAATTTGGTATGGAATGGATTACAGAAATATCAGGACAACATATATTAGATTAAATATTATATCAAATCATTTAAATAACGAACAAAATTTCAGAGCCTGGATCCAAAGGCCTATCCACTACACTACAGAAGCTCGTTTCTGGTTCTTCAACCCAAACAAATTATTGAGGTCTGGAACCATAGTTGGAAGGGTCATAGGCTCCGGAGCCATGAAATTTACTATCTTCTCGTGAACATTATACCTGCAAAAGCATATTTATTAATTTCCAAAACAAATCATAGCAGGTCCACATAGGGAAGCAAAGAATTAACCTATACTGATACCTTATCTTGCGACTCTTAGAGGCTCGTCTGTCCACAATCTTCCTCTTCTTAGTATGCAACTTTTTCAGAGAATAAAAGGCCGTCTCTGTGTATAACCAAATTGTGGAAAATCACAATCATTAAATAATATGCTGGCAATAACAGGAAACAACTATGCCAGACCGCTCCATTTTGAACATTCTAGCAACTTGAATAATAGAGTTGAGGATCGACTAAGTTCCAAACCCACCATAACAGAGAAAATGCAGTGACCTTATTGACTTTGACCACTTGGGGAGATACAATATTAAACAATTGAAAATGCACGAATTTTTCAATGCAATTTGATTGCATTTGTTGTTTTGAACTACAGGAACTCTTAAAGATTGAGTATAACCATATAAGCGCACATTTAAAAGATTCATGTATGAAGTATGGGATGCCCCAATAATCTTGTTATGATGTTATAAATGAAGCACAATTCTGTCTGAGCATGCCCATGCAACCTTGGGAACTCAATTTAGAGGGAAGTTTTAATATCTTACAGTGCCAAATACACCAACTGCCGATCGCCTCATCTGCATCTGCTTAACCATTCTGCTTGGATCTCTCTCATATAAGAAGCAACTTGTTCAGTGATATTCTGCAATTGGAAAGGAAAATTCATTCCTGTTGAATATCTGGCGAAGCATGGCTATAAGTCCACTCATAGGTCGATTACAAAGTTCGATCATAGGGCCAAACCTGATTAAAAGCATGCAGCTTGCTTTTAATAGCAAACAGATGTGTACCTCATTTGCGACATGGGAAAATTTAAAATCCATGGGACATTAAATTGCGATGTAATCTACAGATGGGTCCTCAAATTAGCATAGCATTAGTGAAGCCAATTATATTCAGAAGAGTAGGATTACCTCTCCCTTTGGAGTATTCTCCCCCTCAGGAACCTGCCCATCCATATGTCAGGTATTAATTACTAGATGTACAAAATTAAGAAAAACCTATCTTGTTATGATGTTATAAATGAAGCACAATTCTGTCTGAGCATGCCCATGCAACCTTGGGAACTCAATTTAGAGGGAAGTTTTAATATCTTACAGTGCCAAATACACCAACTGCCGATCGCCTCATCTGCATCTGCTTAACCATTCTGCTTGGATCTCTCTCATATAAGAAGCAACTTGTTCAGTGATATTCTGCAATTGGAAAGGAAAATTCATTCCTGTTGAATATCTGGCGAAGCATGGCTATAAGTCTACTCATAGGTCGATTACAAAGTTCGATCATAGGGCCAAACCTGATTAAAAGCATGCAGCTTGCTTTTAATAGCAGCAACACCTGTGGTCACCTGTGTCTTCCTCTGCCATTTGTCTATTGATTTGTTTCTAAAAGTAGCTATGCTACAAGATACAACATGAAAGGTCTTAGTTAGACAGAGTTACCCCTATAGAATGAATTGCATTAAAATCTTTTAATGCACACAATAATGAAATGTTGAACATAGTAGAACAAAATGCCACAAAACATGCAAGGGAACTAGTCGCACCATGACTGCTAGTATAAGATTTTTGATAGTAGAATTTCACACAAGTATAATTACATCTCAGTGTATACATATGTCGCCATAGAATTTTTAAGGAAGATAAATGCATTTCATGGTCCTTTGCCAGCCCCTTTCGCAAACATACTAATATACTCCACTTCCATAAGTTGAATTCAAAATATCAACCAACTTTAAATACTATTGTTTGGTACATCTCATCTGTAACAGTTAATGAGGTATTAATTGTCAACTACCTAATAAAAAAATATAAAAATTATATACACTATAGTATTGAGTTAGAGAAAAAAATACTAAGATACTTGAATCTACCATTTAATAGAAATCCCAAAAGAAAACAGGTATAAGAATTTCAAGTTTCTTTTTGCTGCTCTAAATGGATCAGCCAGGTATTGCATGAACTCAAAATTTAATATATTCAGTTATCGATTTCAATAAAACAAGAGCATATGCAGAGTATGATCCTTCTTCTCAAATTATCTAGAATATGATCCGAGTACCTTGAAAGCAACTGAGAAATCCGTGACCAATCCTCATCACCATCAGCATCAATGTTATTAGATGATTCTGAATGCTTTGACCGAGCAGATTCACCTTAAGAACAGGAAACATATTAGGACAAGCAATAAATGTACACATGCAGTATGAAGTTGATGAAAGTGAAAATA